ACTCACAGCCCCTTCCCCCCGCTTCTGCAGAATAACCCGCTATTCTTAAATTTCTAGGTTAAGTTTTGCACACTTTACCAGCCACTCCTTCATCTTTACCACCATTATACACATAAGTCCTCATATTTCCACCTTATTGCATACACATCCTTAAGGAATTAAATAATAATAACAATAATAAAAATTCTGGGTATTACAGCCTGGGGATGTAATGATCGACTGGGACCTTCGGCATATCAAGTAATGCCTTCCAAGCATCTCTGGCTGACTTTTCGTTCTTTATTAGATCAAACTCCTTTGCACCACATGAAATCTTAATGGTATGTAGAGCTAAAGCATTCTTTTTAATCCACACCCTCTCATTCATTTCTTCAGTCGTCTGGCTTGGATCAACAACATCCCAAACATCTTGAGCCACTAAGTAGTGTTCTATTAAAATGCTCCACCTTCCATAATTATCTTTTTCAAGAACTTCTGGTACAATCGCGTTCAGAGGCAGAGTAGCTATTTCCATTTTAGCCTATGAAATATTTCACCATGCATAAAACTAATTAACCTCAGCACTATTTTCTTTTTGCAGAAGAAGTTCAAACTACCAAAAAAAAAATGACAATAAGCAGCATGGCACACGTGATAATAGAAAAACTGATGCCAACATATGTAAAGGTGATCTCAATCTGGTTAACGAAAAGAACAAAATTATGCACATCTTTTATACGCACAGACCAAACTAGTTAACCATACTTACAAACTCGATGATCAGATGATAACATTTGAGACGGGCCTGTATCCAATATACTTGATAGAGTTGCTGAGATGAAATTCAGAATAGCTGTTAAAGATAAATGAACTCCAATAAGAATGAATTGTCTTTATAATCTCTGTACTAATTACTTGTGGTCAGACTTGTTTTGGTTGGTCCCATATTTATTGAATGCAATTGCAATGGTTTCGAAATTCTATCCCCAGATGTAGTTGTGGACCTTGTGCTTATTGCCAACATAAAAATTATTAAGGTCAATAAATTTTAAAAATTTTAAATTGTATTTAAAAATATTAATTTATTAATTGATTATAATTTATTAAGTAATAAATATTAATTATTTTAT